GCCATCATGGAGATTGGTCAGAAGTGTGTACTCAATACTTTTAAACTTTGTGGCTGCAATACAGCACCCACAACCTATATGCCGATTTTCAACCTGTGAACCATCGGCTTGGTAACTTCAAGCAAGCTAATAGGCCGATATTCTGTTGCAAAAAGCCTTGTGATTTTTTTTTAGGTTATTATGTACCACTCTGGTAAATTTTATGATGATCCGTTTTGTGTAATCTCTGTCTCTTATACACATCTAGATGTGTATAAGAGACAGCATCTTAATTAATAGCGCTTGCAGTACCCGCTGTTACTTGGGGATCGGATTCATCATTAGCCAAGTGCAAGCTCGGTAGTCTAGTGGTTAAGACATCAGGCTAGTTATTGGGAGATCGTGGGTTCGATTCCTACCTGACCACTTGTAATTGTTTTACATCGCTCACATTTTAATAGTACCTGCAATAGCCGGTGCTAGTTGGGATGGTCGGCATAGCAATAGTGTAGGGCTCCCGCAACACGCACCAAATAGATAAGAGGACTCAACCTCTTAATTACTTATCCCTTTACATGCTTAATTAACCCATCTCTATTGTTTTTAACTCCAACATGTTCATCCACGTCAAATTTCCTCAAGAGCTCTACCTTACTGGCAGTGACAATTCGCTTCTTATGCCTTGAGGTTTAATAAGACTAACCTTATTGTGGGGAACATGCTAAAACGAGACCAGAATATTTAAAATCATTTGAAGTTAGTTCGGACATAGGTTTTCTCTGCTAGGAAATTAGGGGGAGAGTTTCCATCAGCCACCAACCGCAACAGTTTTGAGAACATACTCCTGTCAAATTTCCATGGACGGTGGTTTCCTCTGACTGCTTCCGGGGATCCTTGATGACAAAATAGTTTGTGAAAGCCTGGTTAATAGGGATGACTTCTTCACCAGTACTTGAAATAAAACCACCAAGTTGTTTCTCCATGATCCAGACTACACGTGCCAGTAACCAGATAGGATACTCTCAAATGCACTCTACAGATTAGCGCAGCCAGAATGAATGCAGGTCTCTTAGACAGTTTTTGGCCCAACACGACCATATACTGTATACACTAATGCAAAGATCTTGGCCATATCCACTCTCACGAGCGCATCTTGCTTCATGTGTAGCATTTTCTCCTGGTTGCTGTCTCCAAACTTGGGTTTCACCTCCTGTACTATGATTCCAGCACTGTTCAACACCTTTGAACCATGAAATGTTGTCATTATTTTGTTTAGATTCAACATCAGCTCTTGGCGATGTATCCATTTCCCTCAATCCTCAGCTCAACAGCATATTTCATCTCGAGTAAGACAATCTGAATAAAATTATGACAAATATTCATAGTTCAAACTGTGTTAAACAATGCTGATGGAATCAAGGTACAAGAGGTAAATCCCGGGGATGAGCAGCTGTGGACGATTTCTGTCTAAAAACGAAGCAAAATATGCTCCTTGAAAGGGGATATGATCATGACCCTGGCACCAGCAGGTTGTGCTGGGCCAAAGTTTTCTGAGGGAGTTGTATTCAATCTGCCGACACTGAACAGTGTAACAAAGTGCATTCAAGAGTATCATGTCTGGTCACTTGCATATTGGTAGCAGTGGAGGAAAACAATTTGTTCCAAGATTTGGTGGCTTTGTCTCAGGTACTAATGAAAAACTCTTCTGAAAGTCAACCATCGCCAGTACAGTATTACCCCTATCTACCAGCCAGGCACAGAATATTCGGTCATAAAGAATCTATGGAAGCAGTGAGAGGATGCCATCATGGAGATTGGTCAGAAGTGTGTTCTCAATACTTTTAAACTTTGTGGCTGCAATACAGCACCCACAACCTATATCCTAATTTTCAACCTGTGAACCATCGGCTTGGTAACTTCAAGCAAGCTAATAGGCCGATATCCTGTTGCAAAAAGCCTTGTGATTTTTTTTAGGCCATTATGTACCACTCTGGTAAATTTTATGAATATCCGTTTTGTGTAATCTTGCTAAAAGGCAGACAAAAAAAGTGAATGCATAACCTCCTTGGCGTCAGTAATAATAAAGTATGTGTAGAGTGGGTCCTCTATTAAAGAATGACATGATTTTATAAGGGAGGTTCTTTGTAAAACAGTAGGTAATACAATACCGTAATAAATGTACAGTAGATTTGTTGTGAATCTAAACATTGCATCTGACTGGTGTTCATTGGCATTTGTGAACAGGGAGCTTGAATCACATTGGCCAGAAAATCATGGTCATTCAGTTTGACCATTAGTTTTTAGTTTGTACCGTGGTTGGACTAATATTATTTTTTTAATATTTTTATACCATATATTAATCCTATACCATTAAAATGCGCTTTTTCACCAGCGTTAAACTTTGAGAGTAAATAAAGTGACTTCTCATATTTTTGTAGTTTCAATGTATCAAACTTGCTTAAATCATAGGTCATAGACAGGGGTGGAGCCAGCGGAGGGCCAGGGCCCCCCGACGGGGAGAGCTTCCCCCTCCCCCGTCGGGGAGAAAAAAGCACAATTCGTCGGGGAGAAAAATATATATATATTTTCAACATAATAGTAGACTCTAAAATCGATTAAATAAGCCTTTGAAACCCCTAAATTGTCAAAGTTTTCGCCCCCACGACCACTTTCGCAACCTTTTAATCGAAGCTCGACCACGCCCACTTTGGTTTCTTCGGGGGAAATCTGATCCCTCGTCGGGGCATCGGACCCCCCGTCGGGGACCTCGCCTCCACCCCCGTCGGGCAAATCCTGGCGCCACCCTTGGTCATAGATCTCAATCAATTCCCAAATGACACCATTACTCTGAAAAATTTGTTTAATATAGGTGAAATGAAATACGGTAATCATGGTTCATTTAAAAGACAATATGGCCGCTAATATGGCCACCAATATAGCTGCCAAAATGACTGGGCAATGTATTACGAAGTCAATGTTTTGTATTGAGAAAATAAACACTGTTTATACCATAGGTCTATATATTTGATTTTCATTTGATTGGATATGATTTTTAGTTAATATATTATACAAATTAATGATTTTCATTGACAATCCAATATGGCCGCCAAATGTATTGAGAAGTCCATTTTTTGTATTGAGAACATAAACACTGCTTACTATATAAATTTAGAGATTCATTTGATTTTATATGATTTTCAGTTAAAAAATTATGCCAAATAATTGATTTTCATTCAAAATTCAAGGTGGCCACCAAAATGGCGCCAAATAACCCCATGGGACAATTTGATTTCGATGGAAACATCAGATAATTTGAGGATTACAAAAATGTTAGTTAAAAAAATATATCCTGGGGGTGCATGGTAACTCCCCGTTCCTACTAGACTATATGTCCTCAGTCGATTTTCAGACACAAGTTATGTTACTTTTGTGGGGCTGAGATAAGATAAATGTACTATTATGGCACGTCTAGATGTGCCGGAAATGGCACTCACAGACTTAAAATTTTGAATATAATTTTCTTTTTATCTGCATTTTAATTTTTTTTTTTGCCCTCGGCGGGTTGACGTGACCCCCTCTCTTTAATCGTTATCATATGATATATGCCCCACAGTAGATTTCAGAGACACATTATGGTGCTATTTATCAACAAAGTCCTTTTTGGTCAGGGTGCTAGATCGAGGAACCTATGGGTATTGCCCCTTTGGGCCCTAGAGCGCATGGGCGTTACGCCACTTGTTACGAATCTTTTCAGCTCTACGTTTGAATAAAAGGAAAATAGCTTTTACTTTTTATGTTTCATACTTTATTGTTAATGACCTGTGAAATTTAGCACTCTGTATAATTTGATTAGTTCTTTAATCCATTAAAAGACCGGAGCCGTAGCCCCCACCAGGGCTCTGCCTCTGAACCCAGACCTACAGCCAAAGATCCCGGATTGTGTCCCTTGACTGGAGTTAATAGATACGGCAACAGTGAAACCGTTGTTTGGAAAAATGTCAATGGTTTTTTTTTTGTTTTTTTTTTGTTATTTTATAATTTTATTTTATTTTATTTACTGGAATCAGTGAGGGCTAAGTAAACAGGGGTGGCGCCAGTGTGGGGGGGGGGGTGCCAGAGCTCCTTCGGGGAGAGCTGACCCCATCCGCCTCCCCTTCATCGGGGAGAAAAAAACCACAATTGTTCGCTGAGAAAAAATGCAGGCTTAGGCCCTAGTATTTTTTACATATTAGTAGACCCCAAAAACTGATTAAATATGCATTTGAAACCCCTAATTTGTCATATGTTCCATGGAACACTTTCAAGAGATTTTGAGCGACGCCCGACACGCCCGCTTTTTTTTTGTCGGAGACATTCCATTCACACAAAATTGCAACATTATAATTTGTTCTTGTTAATTATATCCAGTGTGCTTAGTTGGTACCAATGGTGTCCCAATTTCATTTTTGCATAGCGTCCATGTTTTTTCATGTTCGAAACTATCACTATTATATACAGCAGATCTGTATTAGAAAGTCAAGTCAGCTAACCTCATCGATATGCGGACAGAAGGAGAGAAGAGTGATGGGAAATCTGGAAAGGAATACTTTGTATCTTACACAACAGTGGCAGTAATCTGTGTTAGTTGCTTTACAATACTAGTGATTGTCGGATTACTGACTGGACTCCTGCCGAAGGAACAAATCAAATGGTCAGTCATCCAATTATCAGATTTTAAATTATATATATTTGATATTATTATTATTTATTCAATTAAAAAATAATAATTATTATTACTGATATCATTTTTTATTATTTTTACTATTATTATTTTTATTTTTACTTTTTCAAACTTTCGGCCTACGCTTTTTCAAGAGACGTGGCTTCGTACGACAAGGGTGGACGGGGTTACTGATTTTTACGCACGTCACTTACAAAATCAACAATTCAGTGCAATGAAAAGCAACAATTGAGTAAATTAAATAATTTTAAACTTGCCATGGACATAATTTAAGTCAAAATGTATTACATTTTTAATCGAAGCCGTCGATTTTTTTCTGGACATTTTTAATCCGGCCACTAAATTCTCTGGTTGTAACATGAGCTCGTAATTATTGCTTGTTCTGTCCGGAACGTTATTATTAAAAGGATAAACAATCTTTCTAGTATACCTCATTCTAACATTGAACCTCCACCCTCAAGTTGATTCTCTTGATTCATATTACTCTACTGTATGAAGTACATCTCTATCACCTGGTATATCTGTCTAATACCTAAATGGTCTGGCTGCCATTAATAAACCTAAAATTAGCTTCATAATAACAACTACCTCATCAGTCTGTTATTCAAAACTCTAACGTATTCACTTGTAAGCATAATTCAATCAGGTTTATTAATGCATAGCATGTGTTTCCTGTGTATTCATAAAACAATGTTATATTTAATTAGGCCAATCTTTCAAATGTATTTCACAAGACACGTCAACTCCTAAAAAATTATAATAGGCTTATAGTCATTGGTATTCATATTATATTTATATAATATCTTGGTGTTTCTTGAATTATATTTATGACATTGATAAGAAATTATTGGAAAAAAAATTTCCATCATTTTCGAAATACACTGTCTTATTCATATTACTGTATTAAAAAAAAATAAACGAATTGTGATTTAGTAATTATTTTAGGCCCGCTATATGTACTGCGTTTATAGGCCTATTTTCTTGAGTCATACAGGTAAGAATTGGATTTCCTGTTAGGTCCATAAAAAATGTTATGAGACAATCCCTCATGAACACATTTTCCTCACATTTTGAGAGGAGCGCTCAACGCATGTAAAGAAGTACCTTGCTCTAGGACGCAAGCGAAATGCACAATGAGAGATTGAAACCCCAAACTCGAGGTTTGGAAACAAAACCGTTCTCGCTGATCCAAACCGCTTCCACGAAATTCTACGTTTAAATATTCCAACCCAAAATAAATGTAACAATTTTAGGTGAAAACAAATATTGTTAATTTCAGTAGTGATCTAGAGACAACGACTGCATTTATTCCAGACAGCGAACCGTGGAAGAACCCTCGCCTTCCAAAGTCACTACGCCCGATACACTATGATTTAGAAATCAAGGCAGACCTTAACAACTTCACGTTCGACGGTAAGGTAAACATTAAAATAGTGTGTGACCAGACCACAGATATCATTCTACTTAATACTAAGCTTTTAAACATCGACCATTCGTCGGCACATTTGAGTAGTGTTGACGGACGGGTTCCGAATATCCTTAACATCAACACATATCCAGAGCAACAGTACATGATGGTGCTATTAGACTCTAGACTCGAGATGAACGCCGAGTATTTTTTCTCAATTGAATTTAGTGGACCTCTAACGGATGATCTGAATGGCTTTTATAGAAGCTCATACACAACCAAGAGTGGCGAAAAGAGGTACAGTAATGGTATGTTGCGGGTTTTAGTGGTCGGTACAACATACTCGTACAACCACATTGATAGGCATACAGTACTAAAGAGATTATCTGAACACAACAATTTGTGTAAACTCAATTTATTACATTGTTGGCCTTTAAAAAGATGATAAGAGTGCGTTCGAAAATATTATTGTTACAATCTTATGATTTAATTAAATGTCTTTCCGTTTTTAAACTTTTGCAAAAGATGGCTGGCCGTTACATTTTTCTCTCCAACCAATGCGCGCAGAGCATTTCCATGTTTCGACGACCCAGGACTGAAGGCAAGGTTCACGATTTCTATCGTCCATCGACCAGAGTACACGGCACTTTCAAATATGCCTGTTGCGTCATCAGAATCTGTGATGAACGGATGGCAACTAACAAAGTTCCAAACTTCTCTACCTGTTTCCACTTACCTCGTTGGGTATTGTGTGTGTGATTTTGTTTATAAAGAGGCGACAACTAAAAACAACATACGAGTATGTTTATTTCTAACATTTTAAACAGTTATTTGAAACACAGATAGAGCTACTGTTAAAAGATATTTTAGTTAACTACATTTGAATACAAATTAATGAGACCAACATATATTGACCATTTAGAAGTTCATTAATTTAGCTAATATTAATTCGAGTTTTTCAAACATATCCGGTCTCATACGTAAGGTAAGACAAAAACTGCTAGAAAGATTGCAAATATCAGTACAGTATGGGGATTCCTTTTGGACTCCGATTAAGCCTTCTTCAATGTTTTTTGTTTGTTTAAATCTAGATGCGTGTTTGGAGTCGAAATGATGTCATCGGTTCTGTTGATTACGCTTTAGATGTTGGCGTTCGAATCCTTGAGTACTTTCAATCATACCTGGGCATCGATTTTCCACTTCCAAAGATAGGCAAGAAAAATATTTGCATATTTTTTTCAATTTCAATTTTCAATTTCAATAGATAATTTCTTTACAGTATATTAACATGAATAATTGATTATTTTAGTAAGTGGGTTTTCTTTAGTTTTTTTTAATTTATTTATTTATTTTTTTAATTCTTTTGCAACATTGCTATACTTGTTCAGTGTTTTTTTTAATATTTTTATTTCGTATGTTCCTCGGTTTGTCTGTCTGCCCTGTTTAATTTTTTCCATATTCTTTGTCTGTTTACCTGATTTCTTTATAAACTTATAAGTGTATATATTATATATATATATATATATATATGTTTATATACATATATATATATATTGTCTACTAATTTCTTTTTCATATTCTTTCTCCACTTTTAATTAATCACATTCGTTCGACCAATGTATGTTTCGTTTTTTACAAATTATCTTTGGTTTTATGACGCAAATACAGTACTAAAATGTAAATAATTGTCTTTTAGACATGCTGGCAATTCCGGATTTTTTAGCTGGCGCAATGGAGAACTGGGGTATGATTACGTACCGAGAAACAAGGCTCCTAGTAGATTCCTCAGTTACTTCAGCAGGTGATAAACAGGGAGTTTGCACGGTAATAGCTCATGAGCTTGGCCATCAGGCAAGTTGAATAATTTAATTTGATTGTTTTTTTTTCTCTTAGGGGATAACTCTAATGATGCATCTTACTAACCTATTTTTATCGATTGTGTATTATTATGTGTATTATCCCCTAAATATAGGAGTGGATACGGTACTATCAAAATTAATAATACTGTGTGTTTTTAAGTATATTAATAATGATAATAGTAATAATAATGATAACAACAACAACGATGATGATGATGATGATGATGATGAGGATGATGATGATGATGACGATGATGACGATGATGATGACGAAGACGGAACGGATTAATGGAACTGAGAGTGAGTGATGGTTGGCATAAATTGAAGTAGGTTTTTATGTATTATAAATTATAAAAAATGATAGACCATGGTTTCCAAGGTCAATTCGCATGTGCAACACATTTTCTCCACCTGATGATGATAATGATGATGATGATGTTGATGAAAATTTATGATGATGATAAAGGTAGTCTTATTTAAACGTAGGCGTTTATGTGACTACTATTTTGGTTTGCTTTTTATTAAGTGGTTCGGAAATCTTGTGACACATGCATGGTGGGATTATATTCTGTTGAAAGAAGGGTTTGCTTCATTTATGGAATATCTCGGAAGCAATCATGTGGAACCCACTTGGGCGATGGTACGTTGTCGTATAATATCCAATTTATTATAAAATGTATTAAACTTAATAAGGAACCTCTTCTGCAGTCCTCTAGGCCTACATTGTGAATTAGTAATCTATAATCCAACAACAGCCAAATGGACCGCGAGTTTTAAAATTTAGACCGCGAGTATCGGACATTTTGAATGAAATGTTTGTGAATTGATAAACATTTCCCTTAAGTTGTAATGTTTATCAAACAGAAAACGTACCGGTATTCAAGTAACATAAAAAACTTATATAGACAAAAAGATATATTGCATATAATACCTTTATGCTTACAAGTACTTCTATTTTCAGGGGGTAGGTAGTAAAATAGTTTTAATAATATATTTTGCATTTAGAGTTAAAAAAACAACGAAACGTGTTTGTAAAGTATGGAGTTGACATTTCTAGTCATCTAGATGGGCAATATCCTTAAGAGTTTCTCATGTGACTTGTGGGGCTGAGGTAGTTGTTGAGTTTTGAGGCACCATCATTTCTAGGAACATAATATGAGACTGCAAGCGTTTGAGCTACTTAAAAATGCACCCCAATCCGGAAAAGGATGTGATTATTTGTACAATTGGTTTTATCTTTATAATTAATAATTTATCTTAATAATTTATAATTTTCGCGTTATTAATTAACCAGTTCGATGGTCGCTAAAGAAATGGATTCATTTCTGCTTTGATTAGATTAATTTGTTTTTTTTTTATCTTGTTCACACTTAGCACTTCATAAAATATGCAATTATTACGTTTTAATAAAGTAAATTTGCAACCGATCATAATGTGACTATGAGCAAATTCTCTCATGTCCATAATAGGCCTATGCATATATTACATTGATGTTTTGATTACGTTTTAATTCTGCAAATATTATGAGCAAAGTATATCGTGTCTACAGGACGAGCAGTTCTTGTTTCTTGATTTACACCCGGTATTCGACTCAGACGCTTTAGCTTCGTCACGGCCTGTACTGGCACATGTCGAGACGGTTGATGAAATCAGTCAACAGTTTGACATTATCGCCTACAATAAGGTGAGTTAAGCCGTGCACACACATTGATACTGGCGTTAGTTGTGTACTCGGCTTTAGTCGTAAGAAGTTGGATTTAGTTACTGTATGTTAGTAACAATGTGGTGGTTATAGTGCCGCCGGTGATACAGTGTAGATGATTGTAATGTATGACTGAGTGGGGATGGTGCTGGTGATACCAAGACAAATAGTGAAGTAGAGGCGATAGTAGAATTAAGTGATTACTGCATTATCATCATCATCATCATCATTATCATTATCATCATCATCAGTCGGCTGCAGAGCAGGCGACCACAAGTTTTCTACAGTTTTTGCGATTGAGTTGGTGTGACTGCAGCATTCCCTCAGGATCACCCAAAAGGCGCTGGATATATTGTAAAAACAGAATGTACTGGCGACCAGGTTTCCTCTTTCCATGGTGGCAAGGCATATTCTTTCACAGGCTCATTATCTGGGAGGCGAAGGATGGCCCAGAAGTGATTACTGCATTCGACTTAGTAGTGTTGAATCCACTCGTCGGTACCGTTGTAATATTAGAATATCAGTAAGAAAAAAATAATGCCGTTTTTCGGTGGTGATAAGAGAGCTATACAGAAAGAAAAACAATTAATTTTCGACGCAGAATGGTCACAATTTGCTCAATTTAACTTATTATTGTTTAAAGATCTACTTGATTTAAGCTTTACCGTTTAATTTATATTGTTGGAACTTACTTTGCTTACCGTCTTTTTACGTTTGTATGTTTTGTTAATGCGAGATGATTAAAACGAAATTGTGGTACCGTCGGTGCGATTATTATTACTGGTAGTGCTTGTGGTGTGTGGGGACGATGGTTAGGTGGTATATTATGACTTCAATCTGAGTGTCTACTCCAGATTTTCATTTTCAATCAACTAGCGTGGCAACCCCTTGATTGATATTTTTTTCATGTTTTGCTGATGGTCCCAGGCAACTAGGCTTATATTATTAGCAAGGAAATTAAATATTCTTTCATAATCTAAACGCACACAGTATTGTTTTTACTCACAGGGTGCTTCTATTTTCCGAATGGTTAGAGACTTTCTTGGAGATGATTTGTTTGTCAGAGGGCTTCAGCTGTATTTGCAGCGATATAAGTACAGCAATGCCGAAAACGATGATCTATGGGACTGTTTTAATGAGGTACTGGCCTGCTTATTTTCATGCATCAAAAGTTTCCTATTCTCGTATTTTTTATTACTGTCATTTTAGTTATGGATATTGGTATTTCAGGATTATCAATATTCATATTAGTCATATATTTATTTTATTCCTAAATTCTAATAAATGTGATATGCCCATATTTATTTTTGAGTGTAATATAGCAAAAACCGTAGGTAAATCACAATTTTCACATAAAATCTGATAGTAGGACAGAGAATAATATTTTTCTTGACCATTAACATGAATTTCCTATAACAGTTCATAAAACTACTTTATGAATAATATTTACATTGTAGGTGGTGGAAGATGAGGTTCTTGGAATCGACGTAAAAACTGTGATGCATACCTGGACGCTACAGATGGGACTACCGAGTGTTAACTTGACGCGGAATTATGGAGCAGACACCGGCAGTTTCTCTGCCAAACAACACCATTTTCTTATCAATCCCGATGCTAACTTCACTACAAAATACGATGATTTGGGGTTGGTTTGTTCACTTCTCAAAGCTCGCGCATCATGCATTTTTTAGATTTATTTATATGGAATTTATAATATAAATAATCACTGAAATTTAACAAGACCAGAAATTTCGCATACATGACAAATGTCAAGTAAGTTTCAAGAAGGCCTTATGGTAAGTCAGAATGTTAGTAGACTCTGCATCCCTTTCAATTTTAATGCCACAACATTATCAAACTGGGCTTTGTTGGGAATTCTTAGGTACGTATGGTGGGTTCCTCTGTCGATACTCTACCAGAAAACCATCAACCAACCACCAATCAGGTTTTGGATGGAAAACGACGACGGTGAGTCCATAACCAAAACTTTTACAATTACAAATTAAATACGTTGGTCGCAGAAAACTTTCGAGCTCTATAACATAAGCCTTAAATGAATATATAAACAGGGGCGGATCCAGGATTTACAAGACTGGGGGTTAAAAATGTTTCCAAAAAACCCCGAAATGAAAGCTGGTTGGGGATCCTCCCCCGGGAAATGTTGATCCTTAGTTGGCCGGAAATGAGCTTTCCCGACTTCTGATGAGTCTTTTAATGACCTTTAAGTTCTTCAAAAAAAAAGAAAGTAATATTATCTCATTCATTTATTCTTTAGGCCTATCATAGAGGAAAAAAAAATCAGACAGAGGCAATATATTATTATATTCCAACAACACTGAGTAGTTAGATAGGTCTATGTATCTTTCTTCCATGGATCGATGAACCGATAGGCCTGAAAAACGCACTTTCATACATACATTATTGCGACGGCGAACCAAAAACAGTGTGTATAATTTAATTGAAAACTAGCTGGGCTAAGCCTAGTATGTCTGATCTTCTAACCTATGCCTAGGTAGGTTAGCATGCCTTTTGCAAACCAGGACCCAGTTGTATTTTGTTCCGTTCCTTCACAGATGAGGGGGAGGGGTCGTCCGAACCCCTTGAACACCCCCCCCCCCATCCGCCACTGTATAAGATATCGTTAAATTATTGTTTTAATGTTTCCGAAATTTTTAGCCATATACACATGATTAACAGTGTACACAATGTTGAGGAGTGACGTTCACATCCGTGACATTGCTTAATCATTTTAAGTAATTTCTGTTAATTCATTTGATTTTAGTATAAGCATGTTGATATATTATGTATAAAATAAATGGGATTTTTTTTGTTATTACCATCATCAATATTACCTTCACCGTCATTATCACCTCGATCACTGTCATATAATTACTATAACATTATCATTACCATTATTATTAAAACTTAAATATGAAATATTTAACCAATCACTACCTGATATGTTGATAATGTATTCAGTGATGCACGACCTTCCTGATGTCGACGATGCTCATTGGATAATAGTTAACATCAAACAAGCTGGTTACTATCGTGTGAACTATGACCAACAGAACTGGAATCTGATCAGCATTCAGTTAATATATGATCATAACGTAAGTAAAAAATTGTTACCAGTGATCACAACAATACACATTCAGTCAAAAGTACAAAACCGAAGAATCCGTTGATACAGTCATGATGACCATAAATACAATTAAAAAACATGACACCCCACTCTACATTAACGTAAACTGTAACCACATAAAATATATAAAATTAGAAACCTAGCAGCTATAAACAGACTACCTCGATGACCTACAGAGTTTAATAGCCCCACCCCTGAGTATCAAGAAGTTTCGAGACAAATTAGCCACACTCATTGATTAGATGAACATCAAATCAATAACTCAATTTACCAGAAAAGTCGCCACCAATGTGAGAAAAGGTTTCTGAACTTAAACTGAAAGACTGTACTGAAAGACACACAAAGAATTCAATTGCCAATCAAACTCCAATTGCATATAAGTAAAATGTGTGTTATCAAAGCAACAGTCGCGATCAATCCCACGAACCAAAGAATGCATTGGCCTCACAACTTCAAACCACACTGTACTTCTGGTCGCCTAAACATCACGCCTAGAAGAAGGAACATTAAATAATCTGAAATATATTAATGTAGCCTCTTGTAATTTACAGGTTATTCCAGTCGCAAATCGAGCCTCACTTCTTAGCGATGCTAACAAACTAGCTCAGGCTGGTGAACTTAACCAGGTAACCGCTCTAGACCTGACGCGATACCTGGACAAGGAGCTTGAGTATGTACCATGGTCAGTGGCCATGAATACATTGGGTTATATAGAGAAGATGCTCAAGATATCTCCCGCATATGGATCCTTCCAGGTAGATATGATTTATGATAATATATCTGGGATTTTTCCAGAGAGGGAACTGCTCATCCTCCGTGGCGGATCTAGGATATCGAAAATAAGGGAAACAAAATAAGATTTTAAATTTTTTTTTTTCATTCATGACAACCGTAGATCATTTAGTGTGATTTCCAAGACACAATCAATGATTAGTGTTTAATGGTGGTGAATGGTAACGACGAATGAAATGGTGGTATTATTTGTGCTCATGTTGACGATGATTATCGTGGTGGTGTTTGTGGTGTGGGGATGAAAACCTCAGTATTTGTTAAACATTCTCGATTCTAAATAAGTAACTGATGAAGACGATTTAATATAAATTACGAAATACTGTATATATGTTGTGGTTAGTGCCTGTCTTCGAACCCCAAGAACCCTAATAAATCCTGTCAATAAGATTTATACGAACTAACATTGCGTTGTTCGACGAACCCGTCGCCGTGAGTGCTAGGCAAGTGCAACGGTAACGATCCTCTGATTTATTAGAGTAGAATTGCATCGCCGCTACGTCTGCAGATTGTACAACAATAATTATATTTAATAATTTCATAATATTTATTAATTTATTTGCTTTTTAATTTATAAAATCATTGAAATAAGCATAATTGATAATATTTTTCAGAAATATATGCTACGGCAAATATCACCTTTGTATGAACACGTCGGTTGGACTAACACAGGAGAACATTTAACCAGGTACGGTATGCCAAGCAAACAGAAACTAAATACTAGTACTGTAGTCTAAGAAAATAGTATCACCATAAACAGTATTTTACTCACCTATTACGAAAGTCGGAATCACTAGCTAGTTGGTCCTCAACAGGGGTGGCGCCAGGATTTGCACGACGGGGGACCCCCGATTCCCCCTACGAGCATATGGAAACGTTGTATCATTTGCTCTCCAAGGTCGCCTTAACCATTGGAGAAAACTGGATTTTTTTCACAAAAGTACGTTTTTGGTACAAAATCTATGATTTTCTTGTAATGGCCCAAGCGGATTATGTTGTAAAAATATTAATCTACCAATTCGTGAAGAAAAAATGAAAAAAATCCTTACAGTTTTGTCGGAATACGCCGATTTATAACAGATCCTCACGCCGATTTAGATAGGGAATTTCAAGAAATTTGAGGTTTTTGGCTGTTCCGAGCTCGTTTCTTACTCCCTCACTCACAGACTATTTGTTTGTTCGAATTGGCCCAAGTGGATTTGTGGAGAGAATATAATAAGCTTGAAGCTGATATAAAACTTAGTATGATTGGTTGGGTAGTTTTTTCGGAAAATAAGAAAATATAAAATCCATCCAATCCACGATTGCCTCTCATGGGGTCAAAAAATCTCTCAAGCGTGATAGTCCGATTCACTGATAGACGTCATACTTCTGTTTGCTTGACTTGTGTTCG